AGTTACGAGGTTATTATTCGTGGTTTTCACTTAAGAGTAATTTTGTAAGTTTTTTACGAAAAGAGGTTCTTGATCTCTCAATTCTTAGATCAGTAGGAAGCATATTCCAAAAATTACTTCCAACAAACGAAACAGAAAACTTTCCTTGGTCTGTTTTGAATAAAGGAAGACGTAATTGTCGACCCGTTTTTTGTCTTGTGGAATATTCATGTTGTATCATACTGCAATAATGTTTTAAGGAATGAGGTAATCGTTCATTTATCAAATCAAACACAAAAGTACAAATAGATAATTTATGCAATTTAAAAACATTCAACAATTTGAGGTCATGAAAGAGTGCATTAGTATGAGAACGATGTGGCTTGAAAGTTATAGCACGTACAGCCATCTTTTGAGTATAAAATATACAATTCAAGTGTGATTTATAAGTACTACCCCAAACCTCGATGCCATATGTAATATGTGGCTGTATAAGAGCTTTATACAACAGTATCAATATATGTTTAGGGACAAAGTGCCGTAATTTAAAAAGGATGCCGACCTTTCTCCGTATACAGTCATTAACAGATTTTATATGTGAATTCCATGTAAAATGTCTGTCAATGGTAATGCCAACAAATGTCGCTTCCTCCACTTCTCTTAATTCTGCCCCAGATATTTTTAATCTCCCTTTAAGCACAGCCTTTCTTCTACGACTACTGAAGAACATGAAATTGGTTTTTGACGCATTGATAGTAAGCTTATTTGCAGTGCACCAATTCTGTATGGATTTTAAATTTTCATTTACTTCACACTCATCTATTTGATCTACACCTTTGGGAAAAGTATGAAAAATATTAGAATCATCTGCAAATAGTCTGAAATTGAAATAATTTGTCACAGTTGGCAAGTCATTTATATAGATTAAAAACAGAGTTGGTCCTAAGACAGAACCTTGTGGTACACCGCATTGGATATATCTACTTTCTGATGATGACTCTTTGTATTTCACAAACTGCATTCTGTCACTAAGATAGCTTTCGAGCCATTTCAGTGCATGTCCTCGGATGCCATAATGTGATAGCTTTTTAAATAATATGTTATGGTTTATTGTGTCAAAAGCCTTTTGAAAGTCAAGAAACACACCAAGCGTAAAACATCCTTCGTCTATACTTTTCAATACCGTATTCATAAGATTAATTAATGATAATTTAGTACTATACTTTTTCCTAAATCCGTACTGATGGTGATATAAAATGTCATGCGTTTCTAGAAAACTGGTCAATCGAGCATTAACTATTTTTTCTAATACTTTACCCAAAATTGGTAAGACAGAAATGGGTCTATAATTCCCCGTTTCATGTTTATTACCTTTCTTAAACAGTGGACTGACTTTAGCAATTTTCATTTGATCAGGGAAATTTCCTGTTTCCAATGAAAGATTGAAGATATGTATGTATGTATCTATTTAGGTAATGATTGCGAAATATAAAATAAGATAGACTTGAAAGAAGTAAATCATGTCATAAATTGCCGTGTATTTTGACACATTAACATTACATTCTTTGTTTTCGTTATTCACTAGTTCTAGTCGTATCTGAAGTATAAGCTCGTTACTCGAGACCACAGACAGATATGTATATTCCTATGTATATGTATATGTGTGTGTATTTACATGTACATCTATAATTAAGCATAAGTATACAGGTTTAGTATACAGGTTTGTATATTTCTATCGTAGACCCTATACTCTACTACACAAACTGCACTTTTATGTCTTCATCAAATATCTTTGACTTTTCATTTTCATGAAGCACTACCTAATATTATACAATGAAGTTTGAACAAAGTCTCTTGGCAATAAAAATGAGATTCTATGAAACACAAAAAAGAACTCACCGCCACTAATGCTCATCATCAATATAATTATTTTTAAATTGCTTAAATATGAAGATGAAAGGTGCTCTGTCTTTTAAACATCATAAATTAATACCTTTTTAACAATCTTTTCAGAACTTTTCATGTGAAAATTAGTGCATGGAACGACACAAACCACAAACTGAAACATTTATACAGCTCCGATAGATTTACACACACAATGACAAAGCAACGAAAACCTGATTTTACATGGATGCAGTGGTGCAACCAGGCGGTATGAAAAGTTGAAAGAAACAAATCCATTTTTTATACCCCCATTTCTTTCTCGCATATGAATCTATATTGTCTGGAGCAACGCTTATCCTGCCAACTACTATTATATTGACCCTGACACTCAATACGAAAACAGTCTACATTTTCTTTGAACGAACGCCGGTTAAAATTGCTATATGTAAGATTTGATCCGTCTAGCCACCTTGCCTCACTGAGACTTAAGCCGGTCAGCCCGATCCAGTAGTAATTAGTGTTCTGGTCACTGAGGTACTGAACACGCCCCGCGATGAAATCCTCTTCCTCTTGCGACTCGATAAAGACCAGATGGGATCCGTATTCGGAACAAGCTGAAACCGCAGAAGAATGATTCACCCAGCGAGTGCTGAAATTGTAGAACGACCCGCCGAATTCACAAACCACCGGAGGGGATGAGCATGCTGAAAAGATGAAAATACAATATGTAAATTACTCAATTTTAAGAAAGTAGACAAGGTGGTTATTTGGGTAGAGACTGAAATATTTAATAAAAAATAGATAATGATGATGATGATGACGAAAATAATAATAATAAAAGTTGATGCAAAGACATGAGCAAAATTCCAGCTATAAAAATCAATACCTACAGGAACTTTGCTCACCATCGCAGATAGCAATGGTATTTCGTACAGTTATTTTTGTTTTTATGAATGAAATATAGGGGAGGAAGAGGGAAGGGAGAGAGCGAGAGCGAGAGAAAGAGAGAGTGAGCGAGGCAGACAGACAGACAGAGAGATAGAGAGATAGAGAGAAGGGGAAAGTGGTAGTGGCAAGACCCATTATAATGATGATCAAATGCATGACGTCAATGTATTGTTTCTATTACTCAGACTCGGATAAAGACTGAAAGAGTGACAATATTAATAGGCATTTATATAGCATCTATCTAGACAACTATATTCCGAGGTGCACTTATAATTAACCCGGCTTTAGCTTTGCTGCCATTACGTCGCTCCAGTATTTCAAGGAATTAATTCCTACCAGGTACCCATTTACCTGACCTAGGTCGAGTGCGGCAAAGGAAGATTAGTTGCCATTAGGCATTACGGCGCTCTATTATTTCAAGGAATTAATTCTTACTAGGTTCCCATTTATCTCATCTGGGTCGGGTGTGGCAAATGGAGATTGATGCCTTGCCAAAGGACATTAATGCCGTGTCGGGGATTGAACCACGACCTTTGAATTTCGAGTCAAATGCTTAAACCACTCGACTGACACACACAGATGAAGAGAGAGCGAAAGAGGGATGGAGGGGGTGGTCGGTGAATAGGGAGGGGAGAAAGAGGGAGAGGGGGAGATAGGTAAGAGAGGGAAGGTGTAGTTGCTTGACACATTATAATAATGATCGAAAGCATGACATCATTTCATTGTTTCTCTTACTTACTGGTAGCGGTGGTTTCTTGCGATGTCGTTGTGGCTGACACCGTGGTCATAGGCCTCGTAGCCGTCTTGGTCGCCACGTCCGTAGTCGATAATTCTGCTGACTCTGAAACGTTTGAAGGTTGTTGCAAATGAAACCACACTTACAAAGCAATATAATTAGGAATGACAACCTGAACATGATTACAGAAGGCCAAAGCGAAGACAATTGTGCTCCCTGACAACATATAAATTGTATTAGTTTATTTATTTTATAAGGTATTATTTTGTGTCAGCTAATTTAGTGGTGCTTTGTCAAAGCCCAAGTTAATTTTGTCAAATTAATATATCTAAATGTGTTCCTATGGCGTGTTTGTTGTCATTAAACTCGTGGGCAAACGAACGAGACGGGTACCTCCTCCTTTTAGCGAAGCCCGTGACAGGAAAAGCATAAAGGCTGAGGGGGGGGGGGGGGGAGAAAGAGAGGGGGAAGCATTTTCTTAGTCAGGGTACGGGGATAGGATCAAGTGGGGGGAATAGAAATCAGAAAATGCTTTTCCTGTGGGAATCCCAATTCTATCAAAAAGTTCGAAAAGAGGACCGCGAGTTACTTTCTTTTTAATCATTATCAGCATCAGCATCATCATCTTCTTCTTCTTCTTCTTCTTCTTCTTCTTCTTCTTCTTCTTCTTCTTCTTCTTCTTCTTTTTCAGTTGCAGTACCGGCCACTGTCTTGTATTGTCGTACTGGTAAACTTACCGGCACAATTTGTATCATCACGTACTTAGTCAAAAATTATTCTTTCACATGATTGGTAATAAGAGCTTCCATTACATTTTTTTTTAGAGGGGGCGTTTCCAAAACTGGTTATACCTTACATTGCAAATTTTAGGAAATTCACAATGTTATTTCTTATATATATTTTTTGTTTGTTTATGAATGAAAGAGGGGAGGAGAGGAGGGGTGGGGAGGAGAGGAGGGAGGGAGGGAGGGAGATAGAGAGAGAGAGAAAGAGAAAGAGAGAGAGAGAGAGAGAGAGAGAGAGAGAGAGTGGAGAGTAGTAGTTGCTAGACCTACCACTCGAATTTATTGCATTGTTTCTCTCACTCAGAGTCAGATAAAGACTAAAAGAGAGATGAAGAGAGAGAAAAGGGGAGGGGTGGAGGTTAGGTGCCAGTAGAAGGAGACGGGTGGTGAAGGGGACGGGATAGAGAGAGGAAGAGAGAGAGAGAGAGAAGGAGAGAGAAAGAGAGAGAAGGGGGTAGTGGCTAGACAAATTATATTAATGATCAAAAGCATACTTACTGGAGGTAATGGTGTCTTGCGATGTTGTTGTGTCTGATATCGTGGTCGTAGGACTCGTCATCGGCTTGCTCGTCGCGTCCGTAGTCGATAATTCTGCTGACTCTGAAACGTTTGAAGGTTGTAACAAATAAAAACCAAAAATACAAAGCACTGAGATTATGAATGACAACCTATACATGATTGTAGAGGACCAAAACGAAGAAAATTCTGCTCCCTGACAAAAAATAAATTGTGTTTGTAGATTAAGTGGTGCTTTGTCAAAGCCCAAGTAAATTTTTACCGAATAATTTATCTAAATGTGTTTGTTGTCATTAAACTCGTGGGCGAACGAATGAGACGGTTACCTGCCCCTAAATAAGGTTTTAGCGACGCCCGTGACAGGATAGAGATAAAAACTGAGAGAGAGAAAGAGAGAGAGAGAGAGAGTGAGAGAGAGAGAGGGGGGAGAGGGGGTGGAGTGAGAGAGAGAGAGAGAGAGAGAGAGAGAGAGAGAGAGGGGGAATTTGTTTCTCTTACTGGAGGTTGTGGTTACTTGCGATGTCGTTGCCTCTGATCGTTCCGGCATCATGATCGTAGGGCTCGGCTCGGACTTGGTTTTGGCTTCCGTTTTCACCGAATCTGAACGGAATAAAAAACAAAGAAAAAATTGTTCAATGAGTGGGGGAGCCGGAGTCAGGGAATGATTTGGATATAGACAGAGACAAAGAACGCGCGAAGAGTTTAGAAGAAGATAAAGACTGAAAGAGAGAAGAAGAAAGAGAGAAAGGGGGAGGGGTGAAGGGAGTGGTCGATGAAGGGTGAGGGTGGTGAAGGGGGAGTGGAAAGAGAGAAAGGGAGGGAGAGAGAGAGAGAGAGAGAGAGAGAGAGGGAAGGTGTAGTTGCTAGACATATTATAATAATGATCGAAAGCATGACATCATTTCATTGTTTCTCTTACTTACTGGAGGCGGTGGTTTCTGGCGATGTCGTTGTGTCTGACACCGTGGTCATAGGCCTCGTAGATGTCTTGGTCGCCACGTCCGTAGTCGATGATTCCACTGACTCTAAAACGTTTATAAAAAATGAAGCCACACGTTAAAAGTAATAACATTAGGAATGACACCTCAACAGGAATAGAAGGCCAAAACGAAGAACATTTTAAAAAAATAAACTTTAACAGTTTATTTATTTTATGAGGACTGTATAGTTTGTGTCAGGACATTGGGTTTAGTGGGTCTAAGTCAAAGGGTCTTATTTTGCCAAATCATTTATCTAAATGTATTGATATGGCGTGCCTAATTGTTGTTAAACGCGTGGACAAAAGAATTAGATGGTCACTTACCCCTTAAACAAATGTTTTACCGACGCCCGAGATAGGAAAGGACTTTTAAAAAGTCAGATAAAGACTGAGATATACAGATAGAGAGAGACAGAGAGAGACAGAGAGACAGAGAGACAGAGAGAGAGAGAAAGGAGAGAGAGAGAGAGAGAGAGAGAGAGAGAGAGAGAGAGAGAGAGACTATAGTGGCTAAACCTAGAGGCCCGAATTCAAGGAGGTTTGTCGACAAACCTTCTTTGTGAATTCGGGCGATAGTTATAGTAATCACATGACGTCATTTTAATGTTTCTCTTACTGGAAGTTGTGGTTTCGTCGCGGACTTGGTTTTCGCTTCCCATTGTGAACGAAATGGAAAAAAATGTATTAAATTGAGTGGGGAAAAGGGAGCCGGAGTCAGGAAATGATAGAAAAACAAATAGATAGAGACAAAGAATGTGCGAAGAGGGAAGAAGAACAATAACAGCATCAAGAAAGTTGTCGTTAAACTTATAGGCAAAATATATATTTAAATAATTAACGTACACTGTCCCCTTCTAAAGTGTTTTAGCGACGCTCCTGAAAGAAGGACAAATAAAAATATGACTATAAAAATAAGAATTAGACGGTCACTCCCCCCCCCCCCTCCTTAAAGAAAATGTTTTAGCGACGCCCGGAAAGGACCGAAAAAAAGTATAGAGATATCGACTGCTTCAAGAGGCCTTGCTGTTTAATAGGCTCAAGATGTGCAAGCTCTCAAGAGCCTATATATCAGCCAGACCTCGAATATTAAAGCATTCGATATGTCTTTAATAATGCTGAATTGAAACAAAAATCTACCAAGAATTCTGACCTTATCCTTTTATTGAGTAAAGATCGGTTAAAACATCACGGAAAATCTGAGAAACTGTCTGTTTATCTTTGTTTAGCGGTGTCCGCGTCGCACAAAGGAAATTTTAACACTTAAACCACAGTGGGTATCGCAGCAAAATTTTACTATTTTCATGGTAACCGAAATTTTGAGGGATCTCACTTTTGGACTATTAACCGGTATTGGCATTTTTTGTTTCTTTACGGGAATGGCCAAAATCACGACTCCAATTTCGACCAATCAGATGGCTGGATTCCTTAAGTGAGGTATATCAAATCAGATAAAGACCGAGAGAGAGAGGGAGAGAGAAAAAAGGGGATATAGTGGCTAGATCCATTATGATAATAATCAAATGCATGACGTCATTTCCATGAAGCTATTGCCTAGACATACCAGAGGTAGTGGCGCTTTGAGAAGTCGTTGTGTCTGAGCGTTCCGTCATCGTAGTCGAAGGGCTCGTCGTAGGCTTGTTCGTCGCTTCCTCCGTTGACTCTGTGAAGAAGAAAAAAACATGGGGTAGATGACAAGGCCTTTTATTTCCTCTGAAATTATCTTACCGCCGGCTGTCTCCAGGCGCTCTTGGTCAGCGAGAGGGGATAGGATCAAAGCGGGGGGGGGGGGGGGGGGGGGGGGGGGTGGGGGGGACAAATAGAAATCGGAAAACATTTTTCCTGTGGGAATCCCAATTCTATCAACAAATTCCGAAAGAGGACCGCGAGCTTTTTTCTTCTTAAACATCATATTTTACTACTTCTTCTTCTTCTTCAGTTGCAACTACTGAATTTTTGTTTACCCCCTGTAGAAAGTCTCTTCATGCTCATTGTTCATTAATTAGCCACCCCTCCCCCGATACGCCTACATTGATATTACACCTACGTTCATCGCAGTGTCTCCCTTGAAACCCACTTGAGCAGGTACAGTTGTAGCCTACCATAGTCTCCTCACACCAGCCGTTTTTACAGAGGTTTTTGCCACAATCTGCGAAATAAGTAATAAACGGGATAAAACTCAATATTGATTAACAAATTATCATTACACTTTGTTCTGTTTGGTGTGAAAAGATATATTTTCGGGATTTTCACAAATTAACATAAAAAAGATATAGCAAGACTAATGATAATGCATTTTTACCAGGGCTTAAACATATCAAACGCCACGGAGACCATACTCCATAGCCATCGGATACCCATTTCATTGTTGTCAGTGCCCTTTCTCTAATACAGTGTTTTGCCTGGTGTAATTCACAGCCCTTCCTGACTATTTTTTTAATAAATCCCCCGTTAATTGTTCCTGGCTTTATTTTGTCAAATGTTTATGATTAGGGTAAGAGTTGCAATTGGCTTTAAGGATAGGATTAGAGTTAGGGTCAGGTATAGTGTTTGTTACAGTTACAGAAAAAATCCAATCATTACAAAAAAAAATACTCTAAAAGAAAGCAGAAATATCAGAGAAGCAGACTAGTGAAAGTTCGAATGGAATCGGATAAAAAATAAGAAATTTTGTTTAACACACAAAATGACTAAAATGTTAATTTTTCCAAATGTTGGACTCTGGAGGGCCTTTCCATTTGAGCGAACCGATGATAATGTGCTATCCGAAATATATGTTGCCTACTGCCCCAAGGGAGAAGGCACTTCTAACCATTTTTATCCACGACGAACGGGAAAGTTGTCCATGACTATGTCACAATCAATTGGAGATTGGCATATATTTAGTGATCTCATATTTCAATCATTCATAACTCCCTTGGAATTAATTCGATTTATTTTGCCAATCTTTTTCTCTTACTTTTCTACTTTCATACAAATGAATATTTAACAAGATTTGGATTCCCCTTTAAGAAATTAACGTAGAGCAATTTTCGTCAGAAACAAGTGTCGTACAGCCTTGCCCCTTTTAGATCTTCCTACGTTTACAGTAATACTGTACTGTAATAAAAGAAATCGTGATATAGAAAAAGTGGCCTAAAAATAAAGAAATTATTTAGAACCGAGACCGCGAAGTTTGTCACTGGTTTTTCTAGCACTTAACAATTACTTTAGCCCATCCATTTAGGCCTTAATTCAAGTGAGAAAACAATAATTATTTCACACTGTTTTCAAATTCTGGTACTTGATAGCGAAGGAAAAAAAGAGAATATTATTTGGTGAATACGAATTCACAAATATTGTTGCTCGTCTCGCATCAGAATATTGTTTTGCTAGATAATTTGATGTTCCTTTCATTATTTTCGATAGATTTTACTAAACATCTAGAGAGGAATTTCAAATAGTAGTAGTAGTAGAAGTCGTAGAAGTCGAAGGAGTAGTAGTAGTTGTAGTAGTAGTAGTAGTAGTAGTAGTAGTAGTAGTGGTATTAGTAGAGGTAGTAGTAGTAGTAGTAGTAGTAGTAATAGTAGTAGTAGTAGTAGTAGTAGTAGTAGTAGTAGTAGTAGTAGTAGTTGCAGTGGTAGTAGTAATTGTAGTGGTAGTAATAGTAGTAAACATTTAGTAGTAGTAGTAGTAGTAGTAGTAGTAGTAGTAGTAGTAATAGTAGTAGAGGTAGTAGTAGTAGTAGTAGTAGTAGTAGTAGTAGTAGTAGTAATAGTAGTTGTAGTAGTAGTAGTAAACAATTAGTAGTAGTAGTAGTAGTAGTAGTAGTAGTAGTAGTAGTAGTAGTAGTAGTCGTAGTAGTTGTATTTGTAGTAGTTGTAGTAGTGGTGGTAGACCTCTAGTAGTATTCGTATAGTATTGTTAGTAGTTTTAATGATAGTGGGATCGGATATTTATAATGTCAATTAAAAATGTACGATCTGTACTATTATTGATTGATTAACCTTTTTTAAGATATTTGATATTTTATAACAAAAATGAAACCAAGGAAGCATGAGATTTACCCGGGATTCTGCATATTATGTGTTGGCCAGGAATTTTTCCAGCGAAGACGGCAGGGGTAGAGAAGAGTTTTGGGACGGTCTGCAACATGGTGCCATCGGGTAGTCGCACCATCTTACAATTAAAGGATGTCGGCAAGGTGCTTTGCTTGCTGAACTTGACTGGACAAGATGTTTTCGTCACCTTCGACGAATCCGATAAAGCGGGCAAGGCTGTGTGGAATAAACACAAAAAAAAAAAAAAATCGCTAGTGAGCTCTTCCTCCTACTGCTCTCCCTCCTCCTATTCCCCTCCCCAATCCTTCCTCTTCCTCCCTTGCCTCCTCTCCTCCTCCTCTTCCCGCTGTCCCTCCTCTTCTACCTCCCCCTTTCTCAGCCCTCCCTCCTCCTCACCGCCTCCCCTCCTCCTCACCGCCTCCCCTCCTCCTCACCGCCTCCCCTCCTCCTCCCCCATCTTCTTCCTCTTCTACCCCCTCCTCTTCCACCTCTTCCTCTCCCCCTTTAGTATCATTCTCTTTCTCCCATATTCCCCTGATTCTCCTCCTCTTCCTCCTCAACCTCCTTCTCTTCCACCTCTTCCTCCCCGTCACCTCTCACCATCTCTCCTTCCTTCCCCCTTCCCCATCTCCTATTTATTCTTCCCCTCACCTACCCCTTATGATTGAAATTCCCCTTACAATAGTTTGAAACATTCATTAGGGGGAATTTTCCAAACGTCGAACTATTTATTAGAGATCCTACGTAGATTTTACACCTCGCTCCTATTTCGCTTCATAATGGTAATTTTATGAGCCAACTTTTTCAGCAATATTCGTACAATCATGAAAATATGACGTATATAATTATGAAGTCACACTTATTCTTACCTAAGGACAAACAGGTTACAGTGCCAAACAGCGACTTCCACATTACACCGATCTTTTGGTCTTTAGCCTGTGTTTATAAAAATGTTAACATTGCATAAACAAATAGAACAAGAACAGAAAAATGATGATTAAGATAATGGCTAATGATGCTAATGTTATCACCTACCAAAACCAAGAACGATATTTTCCAGCAGGATTTTCACTTTCACTGGCCCAAAATATTGAAATGCCCTTCCCGGCACATTAAAAGAAAAACCCTCTATAAGTGGTTTCAAAATGCCCTCAAGCACTTTTTGTTGCAAACGAATCAGAATAAGTAGTTCCCCGTTTTTGTTTTTTGGTTCGTTGTTTTTCCCCCTTTATTGTATTTTGTCTGGCATGGATCATTCAGTGCTCTGTGGCATTCATGTATTTAGTTAACACTGGTTTCAAGTGGTACCTCGTTCGTTTGAGCAAATGCATTTTGTAGGGGCCCCCTATGGGGGCGTCTGGCGGGCCCTTAGCAGCAGAAATTTTGTCTGGCATGGGCCATTCAGTACTCTGTGGCATTCATGTATTTAGTTAACACTGGTTTCAAGTGGTACCTCGTTCGTTTGATCAGATGCATTTTTGGGCCCCCCTCAACTGGCCCCAGGGGCCACATGCAGCAGAGGGACTCCGGCAGACGTCCACATTTTGATATCCTAGATTTTTCCCAAATGTTCCAATACTCAGATATTGTTACCTCGTTCGTTTGATCAAAGTGTTCTGGGCTGCCGGACTATAGGCAATGCCCTTACGTACAACTGATATATTTTGGTTCATTCGAAGTTTTAAATTACAAATTATTTTCCAAAACATAATCATGTCCCTGTTATACAAACAAAAAGTGAAACGTTGCATCGAATTTTTCACAAGTGTTGCATAAATTATTATTCACCGTATGCCATTTATATAAATTTTCTTTTGAGGCAATAATCCTATGAATCATCTTTAAATTTAATTGTTTAACTTTATTATAAGGAATTTGCATTAATTTAAATGAAAATACATCCTTCTAAACAACTTAATTATCTAAATCTAGAAAGGAATCATGTATTTATTAAAACGGATAACAAGTAAAACGGCTATAAAATAAAATCAAGCACATGGTGGCTATTTCAATATGATTGAAACAAAAACATAGAATACTTAACAGATCAATCTTCAAGGGCTTTAAACAAAAAGATCAAGTAAAAGGAGGCACCTTTTCTTTGTTCAAAAGGGCCCTTTTGGGGTACTTAAAAAGGTTGGGGGCACTGTGACCCTTGTCAAACCCCTCCACCCCCCTTTTCCCAGGATCCCCGCCTCTAAATAAGCTTGTTTGCTTCGTTTTGGTTTGTGATGTTTGTGAAAACGCTTGTTATCTTTAAAAAAAAAAAATCATAATTCTAGATCGAAATTATTCAAAAGCTGTGTTAGGTATTAGGGCCAATGTTCTTATTTTGAGGAGTGGGGCGTACATTTATTTATATGTGAAAATACATGTTACGCTAATAACATGCCGAAAGTGGATTGACAATTATGATTCAGCTTCATTGGAATACCTGTCAGCGTCAAATATTTTCAGAGGGGTGGGGTTTGTGAGTGGATCAAAAGGATAGATATTGATAGTATCACCATTATTTTTGTTGCTATGCACGTTGCGATACAAACAAGCTGGTATTAATGATACGCTGATTAAAAAGAACCAAGACCAATTTGCACTATCAGACAATTAAATATCGACC